TTGGGGGAATACATTTTTTAAGGTTAAAGTTTACTTCTCTGTAAAATTAGGAATTTTATTTCAGTTCTAAAAGATGTTTATTATCATTACTAATTTTATGCAAATATTCTCTGTGGCTTGGATATTCAAATAGCTGTCGTGATTCTTGTGCAAGTGCAATGAATCACATCGAACTTTTTCTGACTTTGTAACTTAGACAAACTTGACAAAATAAAAGCTTTGACAGTTCAACATATCTTTATCTGTCTCTTAGTACATAGTCGCTATATTACTACTGCTTGATAAATATGTTATCTCTATGTGAGAATATGGAACTGCTTCCTTTAGCATTTAAGATATATTTCAAGTTGTATTACTCTTACAGCTAGTTTGCCATTGTGAAAATACCCTACTGCTTTAAGGAAATGGAATATATTAGCTATTAAAATGGAAAAAAAGTAATAATATAGTGTAGATTTCATATGGTTCTTGAAACATTTGATTTATATTTACTTTATGTCCACCAATTTTGTTTGCATAGAAGAAAATTATGTTCTGTTCCATAGTATCATCAAAACTTAATTTAGTGAATCTTTAATCTGTATTTATTTTTTTCATTATCAGAAGTTTTTCTTTTACCAAAATATTTTAGACACAACTGATGATCCTGACAATGTAATTAAAGTGTGGAAGTGCTATAGAGAAAAATACATTTTTTATATATCTTAATTATGTTTAATGTTAGCTGTATTAATATATTTGGAAAAGTGGTTATTTCATGTATACTGCTTAAGTGTAGAAGAAAAGGACTGTAATCTTTTTCTTAATATAAGTTTCCTCAATATATCAATTTTCTTGAGAGTGTCTTGCTTCCATAATTTCTAAACAGAATCTGAATAGAAAATAAAGCAGTGTAAAAGCATTATGGCATAGGACAAATCAACCCTGCAAAATGAGGCCATTATATGAATTAAATGTAAACATGCAGAAAAGTTTGTGAAATTATTTTAAGCACAATATTAGATTGTCAGTGAAATAGACAACTAAAGAAATAAAGAAGTATATAAATTTCCATATATAAATGCTATTTAGCTATTGGGATTACAAGTTATATTTGCTGCAGCTAATAGGATTCCAAAGTTATATAAAGTCCATATTTCTAGAGTTAGCAAGTTTTCAAATTATCTCTTCTTATCTTGAACAGTTTAAAAAACTTCTGAATTTAGAGGTTAATAATCACATTTGACTTAGTTATAGAGAAATTGAAATTATCCACTGTAACCTACAGAAAAAAAATTATTTGATTATTCCTGAATTGATTTTATAGAATAGGATATGTATAATAAATTAATTATAAAAGATGAAAGATAAAATATGTCACCAAGTAATAATATATATATATACACACATACATATATGCACACCCCTTTGGATTATACTCCTGGTAGTTTTAATATTCCAACAACAAAATATTCTGTAAATATCCTATAGTTTCAGTGGGAAGATAATATTTTCTTAAATTAACACAGGAAGTGGTTTTTTAGATTTGCTAAAGATATCTTACTCAAAAGAGAAAGGGTAAATTGAGGATCATCTTAATTGAAACAATCTTTTATTATTTTCTTATTATTAAATTCTAAATATGCTAAAGTTTCCAGGTATTGGACCAGCGGAGTCTGAGAATGTGTTTTCTGATACTCTGTCTTACTGATGCCTCTATTCTTTATACCTTCAGTATAGCTCATGTGATTCTAAAAATCAGTAGTTTGGAGAATTATCACACTAGTAGAAAATGAGTTCTGACAGTCAGGGCAAAGTAAGGTTTTTTAAAAATACTAGAATGAATAGAGAACAGACTAAATTATTTATGTTCAACAGTTACATTTATTCCTAAAGAGGAAATTAAAGTCAGGTTTAAACATATTAATATGTTGGTTTGGGGATTTAAAAACCCAAACACATTCCTATGTAAGTCAATTATAAGTATGTTATGCATTTGGAAACAGTGCTGCATCATGATTCCATAGTAGTGGAATACCATAACTACTAGTATGCCTGCCATCAGAGACCTCGACTCAATTCTTACTTTCTTTTGGTATAGTGTCTACTAACTCTGCATCTTTGTTTCCACATTACTACTCTATTCAGTGTCCTTTTCTTTCCTTTATTTCATCCATAGCATTCTAACAAATGTCAAAGTATTATCATTATGTTAAACTGAATTTACTAAAAGAAATACAGTTTTCTCCTCATTGTGTTTGTGAATATTGAATAAAACTCAGATAGCCTGTGTATGGGTCCTGAGAACGTCCCAATACAAAGTCAAATGTTCACAGAGCTCTTTAATTATAAGGCAATGGCAGTAATAAGGAGTATGCCCTCATTCTACCTGTTAGGGCTTTAGGTTTTGCATAACTTTACCAATTGTACTGATAAGTGATTTTACATTTTAACCAGCGTTGTTCAGTTAAACAAAAATCCAAATTCCCTTTAACTTGAGCCTCACCACTTTTCAAGTGATATTTGTCTAGAATAAAGGGTAGCTGTCATTATACACTGTGATATCCCAAAGTAAGGGTGATTGGATGAATATTGAGCTCTCATTGTGCCTCAGGCACTTTACTACATGCTGTGGATACAACAGAATCAAAACAGAGAAACTGTTTTCTTGGAGAATACATTTTAGGGGGAGACAGAGGCAAAGAAAATCAACACAAAATATAATATTTAAGTAAAGAAAATTAGTATGAAGAAAAGAGATAGCAGTGAAGAAGAGGGTGCTCTTTTAGATAGGAGAGGCCTTTTTGATGAGGTTGAATTTGAGTAAAGATATAGATGAAGTGAAAGAGCAGACCCTGGAACTATCTAACTCTAGAATTTGAACCAAATGAAAGATTAATGCTGCTGTACCACACAGAAACCCTTATTCCATCATCTATCTTTTTTATACAGATTAACAACATATGTTCCCACATTATATGGTCCATTGATGAACGTTGAAAACAACCTTTAACTTAACTGCTGAACTCAAAAATATGCCCTGACCTGTTGTTGATTATCATGATGTTAGTATCACATGCATGGCCCATGAACATAGAGGTGACTTTCCAGTCATCCTGTAACCATAATGGCATTTTGTCCTTTGGGAATCTGTCTATTCATCCAGAAGACTATACGCCTCATGTGCAGAGGCCTATGCCCTTTGTGAATACAGACACATGATGATTTATTTACTTTTTTTTAACAAAAATATTTGCATAGGGCCGAATGTACTGTAGCTCTTCATCCTCAGTACAAACCCATCTGTGATATGGAATCTTTTTGGGAAATATTTATGCATAAGGGAAATCCTGTATCTAGAACAGTGAAACTTATTTGCAATATTCTTTCTCATAAAGTGGGAAGTGAGCTATGTGGGTATTTGGAGGAAAAGATTTCCAGGCACAAAGACTAGCAATGCCTATGACAATAAGATGGGAGTTTTCATGATACACTCAAAGAAGCACAAGGCGGCCAGTGCAGCTATAGTACAGTCTTTAAGAGGAAGAGTTATAGGAAGTGATTTTGGAGAGGTAAAATAAGAAATAATAATTCACATTAAAAATAATAGTTACCTTTTCTAAGCACTTATTATCTACCAAATAATAAGCACTTTACATATATTTTCCAGTGCTTTAAAGGGAAAACTTTGACCGTGACTATGGTATTTATATCTACAATTGATAACACATTATTTTGTTGGATGTGTTTTGTTGTTATTGCTTGTCTTCTTACACAGCAAAAATAATACGGTTTTTTAAGGTCCAGATGATAGGCCTGTTTTACTTCATTTACACTGACTTATTCAGCAGAGAAGCCTACTTCAAATGATGACAATGAGGATAAGGATCACACTACAATTTTATTATTGTTTTTAGAACAGTTAGAGCTGAATTTCCTTTTTTTTGTACCATAAAAATTATACAAGTTATTCAATTGCTTTACTAAATTTGAAGTATACCAATAAATAATTTAAACCTAATGAATTAATGCATTTATCCCTAATCTCAAATCCTGCTATAGTCTCATTGAGGTAAGTACTATGGTCATCGTGTCTCATTCTTGACTGTGTTATTGCATATATATTTAAATTAACAGTCATAAAATAAATTTAATATTTGGGAAAAAAATGAGAGTCCATGATATCTAGGGGACTGATGATATTTTAGGACCATGTTTCTTTAATATTAAGATTAAGCACCTGCAATTATTATTTCTGATATATGAAAGACAGGTATTGTTTCATTCCTATGTCTGGAAATGTTATCAGAGAGATCAAATTCTATGGTAATATTTAGTATGTGACTTCAAGAATAACAAATAATATAGACCTGTTGTAAATTGCCTGGTGGTCAGTCATTTGGCACTTTGATTTAAAATATATTTCTTAAACTGAGTTTTACCTGTCATATCTTCTTTCTGACACTCTTAAGACACATGTTCCTTAATGATTATTTTGCTGATACATTTCCTGTGACATTAAAAGTGAAAAAAAGTTGCAAAGTTTTATGTGTGTGTGTGTGTGTGTATGTATGTATGTATGTATACATATATAGTACCTGTGGGCAATCTACTTCCATAGTGATACCGCCTCAGAAACCCAAGGAGGGGTTGCTATGAGTCAGGTTTGACTCGACAGCACATAACAATAACAACAATAGTACTTGTATGTGTGTGTGTGCATTCACACACATCAGTGCAAAATTCTTATATTTTAAGGAGAAGAAAATCTGAACTCAAGGTGGAAATGAGGGAACAGTGGCTTCTCAATAAAGAAACTAAAGCCAAACTACAATGTTCTTCAAGGTGTTTTTGTAGCATGCTGTAGTCTCAGAAAGTGAGTAAGTGCTCAGAAAAAATAAGAAAAAAACAATGATGGGAGTATATCAAAGGGACACAGAAGTCAACAGCAGTGGCTAAAGCTACAACAATTTGAGCAACAAAAGAAAGAAAGTTTTGGATTATAACTCAAGGCAAATACTTATGAGTGACTGGGATCTTAAAAGCTTGCAAGTGGCCATCTAGATGCAATGATCCATCTCTCTTTATCCAGTGCAAAGAATGAAGAACACCAAAGATGCATGGAAACAATTAGTCCAAGGGACTGGTACACCATGCGATCCTCAGCCTATATGACTACGAGACCAGAAGAATTAGATGGTGCCCAGCTACCACTGTCATTCATTCAGAGGGAGATCTCTGTAGGAGATCCTGGATAGAGTGGTAGAACAATGTGGAATAAAACTCAAAATCATAAAAAAAAGGGGGACCAGATTTGCTGGTATGATGGAGCCTGGTGCAACCCCTGAACTATGGCCCCTAGCTGCTCTTCAGGTCTGAAATTGAATCCACTCCTGTGGCTTCTAGACAAACAAAAGACAGACATATGAACTGAACATTTACATTAGCTAGATATACTCCTTGCAGAGAACAATCATGGGAAAATAGAAGGGCTGTGTATGCACAGGGAGACAGCTCAGGGGACAGGAGTATATGGGAGGGAAGGACACAGGGAAGAGGTGGCTATGGGGATGAAGTTGGATGAGTGCATTGTGGGAGATCACAGTCAATGCTATGAGTCAAAGTGCATGTGAACTGCTACATGGAAGATGAATTTGCTCTGTAAAACTTCACCCAAATCACAATAAAATTAAAACAAAATACTTATGATATCATACTGATATAAGTAAAGGATTGAATGCAAGAGGGACAAAAGATAAATCTACTGTGCAAAATAAATCCAAATAATTTATGTAGATACTCTGCCCTCGAGAAGATGGAGTGGAATGTTTCATCTTAAATGTGAGTGACTTTCTTTCAAAGAGCACAGTATAAGAAATGGGAGGCAAGGTTTTACAATGGATAACCCTGGAAAACCTCTGCCAGGCAACCAAAGTCAATATCAACAGCGGTGAGTCACGTTGACAGTATGTACCCTTGATTTGATGTGAGGAGAATGACACTTGTATTATATTCCTTCCCAAAACACATTATCCCAATCTAGTCACGCAAAAAACATCAGAGAGATCCCAATAGATGGAGATTCTACAAAATATGTATCCACTAATCCTCAAGACTTTCAAAGTCATAAAGAACATAGAAAGTCTGAGAAACTGTCACAGCCAAAATGAGTCTAAGGAGACATGACTACTAAATCAATTTGGCATCCCAAATGGGATCCTGACAAAGAAAAAGAACAATCAGTAAACACTAAAGAAATCTAAATAAACATACTAAAGACTTTACAATATTTGCAATATTGAACTATTCTATGGACAAAATAATGAATAATGCAAGAAGCATCAAAAGACAATGGAAGGGATATGCAGAGCCACTCTACCAAAAAGAATCAGTTGATTTTCAAATATTTCAGGAGGTATCATATTTCATGAGAACCAATGTTACTGAAGTAAGGAAGTCCAAGCTGCACTGAAAGAACTGACAAAAAACTCCAGGAACTGACAAAAAAAAACTGACAAAAAACTCCAGGAACTGACGGAATACTCACTGAGATGTTTCCACAAATGGATACAGTGCTGGAGATGCTTACCCATTGATGCCAAGTAAATTGGAAGACAGCTACCTGGCCAACTGACTAGAAGATATCGATATTTGTGCCCTTTTAAAGAAAGATGGTCCAGGAGAATGTGGAAATTATCAAAGAATGTCATTAATATTGCATGTAAGTAAAATTTTGCTGAAGATAATTAAAAAATAGCTGCAGCAGTAAATTGACAGGGAACTTCCAGAAATTTAAGCCTGCTCAGAAGGGGACATGGAATGAAGGATATCATTAATGTCATATAGATCTTGGCTGAAAGCAAAGAATACCAGAATGATGTTTACCTGTGTTTTTTTTGACTATGCAAAGGCATTTGATTGTGTGGATCATAACAAATTATGAATAATATTGTGGAGAATGGAAATTCCAGAACACTTAATTGTGCTCATGTGGAATCTGTACATAGATCAAGAGGCTGTCTTTCAAACAGAATGTGGGGATAAAACATGGTTTAAAATCAGAAAAAGTGTGCATCAGGGTTGTATCCTTCCACCATACTTACTCAATCTGTATGTTGAGTAAATATTTCAACAAGGTGGACTGTATGAAGAAGAATGAGGCATCAGGATAGGAGGAAGATTCATTAACAACCTGACATAAGCGGATGACACAAGCCTGCTTGCTGAAAGTGAAGAAGACTTGAAACACTTACTGATGAAGAACAAAGAATAAAGTCTTCAATATTGATTAAACCTCAACATAAGGAAAGTGAAAATCCTCACAATTGGACCACATAACTGAATAAGCAACATCATGATAATGGAGAAAAGACTGAAGTTGTCAGTGATTTCAATTCACTTGGATCCACAATCAACACCCATGGAAGAAGCAGCCAAGAAATCTGACTTCGCAGTGTAGTGCCTAAGGCATTTGACTGCTAACCAGA